TAGCATTAGAGAATCGGCACGAACCTCAGTCTTCATTACCTCTTTCGAATTCTCGACATTAACAATCGTGGTTACTTGGATACTTTTTGTCTGAATTATTTTTTCAGGGTATGTATTACTGTAACATAAATTTTGTTACAGTTTCTGAATCAATTTCACGAAGTGAAAAACGCTAAAATATTTTGTAGGCGATACAAGAACAGATGACAATGCATGGTCAAGAGCCCGTTAATTTTGAAGATGTCAAAGATATTCGATATGGTGAAGCCAGCAAATCCGTGTAAAATTACGTAAGAAATTTATAAGCATATATACGGTGGAACGCGCGGCCGTTCGTCTTTCTTCGGAGCGCTTCGGGCTATACGATCTCAGCGAAATATTTTTCTTTATTCGTCTATAGTCGGTAGACAAGATGTTTCGTGGTAATTTTGATGTTCGATGAAGATTATTATAGTCAATATTCTATTGTTGCATATAGTCATTATAATAATGGTCATTCAATCGTTTTAATTGTAGATCCACCGCAATATCAAGGTTCGTACGTACCGAATCGATTCGATATTAAACTCGGTCATCGATGGGACGGAGTCGATACAACTAACGGATACGAGAAGAAGTAGTACGAAGCACAAAATGCAAAAGTAACTTTACAAGAAGATGCTTATAAGTGGAATACAGCCAACACATAAGCCGACTCATATTCGTTTTTCTACTCTGATTTAGAAAAACGAACATTTAAAACGATGTAATATTATCAAAAATATAGTCACTATTATTTAAACTACGCAATTTGCAGAAGAAAATTGTAAGACTTTTATTTTCGTAATCGTAAAAATAGTTTTATAGCTGATTTGGTATAGAAATAAGCAACAAATATATGAATTATGAATATTTCTTTAATTAACATTCTAAGCGAATTTTACAAATAACATTTGCAGATAATAATAATAATACATAGAATAAATCCAAATACTAATGCAAATAATAAATAATTACATTAATTACATTAATTAATTAATGTAATTATTTATTTCAAAATTATTAAGGACATTAGGCCTTTTAATTAATTATTGTAATTAATTAATTAATTAAAAGGCCTAATGTCCGTAATAATTTTTAACAATTGTCACATTCGGCTTCGGCCTCCCTCTAAACATTCTTCTACCACGATAACTACGATGATAGTTACCGTGGTAGTGACCGCCACCACGATTACCGCCATCACGACTACCGCCACCTCGACCACCTCCATCACCACCATCTTGTTGACCATCACCATCTTGTTGACTACGGTCATTGGTATCTTGCCTTGGCGCGTCACGATAATGACGGCGGAGGTACCATTGGGCCCGGCTACGCCCACGTCCCTGTCCTCGTCGATTTACCGCTGAAATAAAAGAAAATATAAAAATATAAATAATTACCCAGTGACATACTTGGCTGATAATCAGTGAAGTTCAACTAAAAAAGGAAGAATGTTTGAGCATTATACAGGGTGTCCCGACCTTTTCTGCAAATCATTTTTGTGTAGATAGAGCGAACTAAACTGAGTCCTCTAATTATATTGCAATTTTCGCAATAGTTAATAAGATATTAATTACTAAAAATTGCAAAATATTAGTATTGAATAATTTTTTACTCAAATACTATCAATTTTACAGAAAAACTGCAATAGACAAAAATTACTTATTTTCTTCTCATAAAGTTCTGAAATTTTTTTCAGAATTTTTTATCAAATTTTTAGTACTGCATTTTCTTATTTTTACCAATATGAGAAAATACGGTATTAAAAAATTCTGGAAAAATTCTCAGAACTTTATAAGAAGAAGATAAATAATTCTCTTGCAGTTTTTCTGTAAAGTTGATAGTATTTGAGTAAAAAATTATTCACAACCAATATTTTTCAATTTTTAGTGATTAATATCTTATTAACTATTACGAAAATTGTAAAATGGTAGAGGACTTTTCGACTCAATTTAGTCCGCTCTATCAACACAGAAGTGATTGATAAAAAAAGGTCGAGACACCCTGTATAACTAAAATACTGATATTTGCACGTTAATTTCAATTTTACAATACCATATTCATTGAATTTAAGAACAAAACAAAGTTAGTTAGATCACATAATAAAGATTAGCTACGTTAGGAATCTCACATTTAATTCACTGATTACCAGTGGCATACTTGGCAGAGATATCAGTGATTATACACTGATACAGAGAATAATAGGTAAATATAATATACCATTCACTTCTTGCTGCTGCAGTTGTTGTAGCAACTGCTGCTGAAGCTGCTGTTGCTCCAAAATGGCATCATACGCTTTCGATCCTCTTTCTGCTGTCGAAGCAGCTCCTTCACCATGCTCTCCACAGATTCCTTCATAGGAGTATCCTCCTCCAACAACATCCGCTCAGCAGCATCAGAAATTTCTTCTGGAAAAACCAAAAAAATGTAACCATAAAAATGTAGACAGAAAACCGACGTGATTTTCGTATCAAAATAACGACAAATGAAAGAGAATACTGCATAAATATGCGTATAAAAATTGTGTAATACTTACTCGACATCTTGGCCAAGCGTCAATCAATAACACGAGGTTGGCACAGAGTGAAGTTGCACATCGAGCGTGGATTGTCAATTATGGTGGGATCAGAAAGGTGAAGCGTTGCACAAGACGGAGTGGGGAGGAGGGAATTTTGACAACTAAAACGCAATAGGCAATGCATGGCAATACAAGATCACATTGGCCATGGAAAATTGATCACGTAGGATATTTGTAACCGTATATACGGTGGAACGCGCGGGCGTTCGTCTTTCTTCGGAGCGCATCCGGCTATACGATCTCAGCAAAATATTTTTTTTTATTCGTCTGTAGTCTCAGACATTGCACACGAGCTTTAACATTTTGGTTCCAATCCCTGGGGCAAGCGTAGGAAATTTTCGAGCGCATGTACGAGCGATCGCGCGGGCGTTCGCCATTATTCGGAGACGTTCCGGAACCACGATCTGAATCAATTATTTTTTTTTATTCGTCTGTAATCTCAGACATTGCACACGAGCTTTAACATTTTGGTTCCAATCCCTGGGGCAGGCGTAGGAAATTTTCGAGCGCATATACGAGCGATCGCGCGGGCGGTTGCCATTATTCGGAGACGTTCCGGAACCACGATCTGAATCAATTATTTCTTTTTATTCGTCTGTAGTCTCAGACATTGCACACGAGCTTTAACATTTTGGTTCCAATCCCTGGGGCAGGCGTAGGAAATTTTCGAGCGCATATACGAGCGATCGCGCGGGCGGTTGCCATTATTCGGAGACGTTCCGGAACCACGATCTGAATCAATTATTTCTTTTTATTCGTCTGTAGTCTCAGACATTGCACACGAGCTTTAACATTTTGGTTCCAATCCCTGGGGCAGGCGTAGGAAATTTTCGAGCGCATATACGAGCGATCGCGCGGGCGGTTGCCATTATTCGGAGACGTTCCGGAACCACGATCTGAATCAATTATTTCTTTTTATTCGTCTGTAGTCTCAGACATTGCACACGAGCTTTAACATTTTGGTTCCAATCCCTGGGGCAGGCGTAGGAAATTTTCGAGCGCATATACGAGCGATCGCGCGGGCGGTTGCCATTATTCGGAGACGTTCCGGAACCACGATCTGAATCAATTATTTCTTTTTATTCGTCTGTAGTCTCAGACATTGCACACGAGCTTTAACATTTTGGTTCCAATCCCTGGGGCAGGCGTAGGAAATTTTCGAGCGCATATACGAGCGATCGCGCGGGCGGTTGCCATTATTCGGAGACGTTCCGGAGCCACGATCTGAATCAATTATTTCTTTTTATTCGTCTGTAGTCTCAGACATTGCGCACAAGCTTTAACATTTTGGTTCCAATCCCTGGGGCAAGCGTAGGAAATTTTCGAGCGGACCGCGATCTTCGTTTGAAACTGGACGTACATTGCAAATTTTTGGACACATGTATATATGCGTGATTTTCTATTGTCTGTTATTTCTATGTGTAGTCACCTTTACTTTTCGCTCCAAAATCGCTTCAAATTTCAACCACATAAAATTTAAAACTAAAAAATGGGTCTACTAGTTCCTATGGTGTCCCCTGCATAATTATGTATAAACAATTTTTTTACATTTCACCAAACAGGTTTTTTTCAAAAAAAAAACAATTATTGGGAAAATTATTCTTTTAATTATTTTTCTAATGTTTTCTTATTATTACTTTTATTAGACTAAAAAGTAATTTTACAAAAGAAAAAAACATTTATGAGCATGTATAGATATATATTTCATATAGTATTGTTTATAGTTATGAATATTCATACATGTTTATGTATATCTATCCGTATTTATAAATATTCATACACATAAAAGAATATTTTACAGAATAAAATTTCAGCAATATTTCCGCTATTTCATTGTAATACTGAAACTCCAAAGTAATACTGCTATAATATTGCTGTAATATCATACGATATACTACTGGTATACTAGGTGATTGATATACTAGAAGCTATTGTTATTCTTTTATTATAAAGAAGTTCGCGTTTTTATGTATAACTTAAATGTATATAATCTTAAGTGAAATTATTACTTTGACAATTATAGATTGTGTAATAAATTAATAAATAAATTCATAACAAATAATGATTACTTATTTATGAGCAGTAGGAAGGTGTGTTTGACACAATGATCTTTCAATATAATTTTGAATATTATAATGTGTAGAATAACATAATAATAATGCTTCACAACAATTCTTCGCAATTGTGTGTGTGCGCGTGTGCGCGCATGCATGTGTATATATACTATTCATACATTAATCAGCACAATGATTTAATCGAATGTAATATATTGAATATATTGAATACATTTTCATGTTATATGTCAAATTTTATGAATTCGTATATAACAAAAGAAAATTTTAATACATTATTCCATAGGATATATATAATACACTTACATATTTAATATTTAATATTTTTAACACTTATTTGTGTAACAAAAATTCGTCGATAATATTCCCAAATTTAATTTTTCGCCATACATTTGTGCCTCTAAAATTGTTAGTCGGTTTTTATAAACTGCAGCCAAAAAATGTTTCTTTTCTAAATTATTGAAATTTCTCATTTTAAAGTTGTATAACTTATCAACTTTTATTTGTATAACATTTCGATGCACAAAACCTTCGATACCTTGAAAACAGTTTTATGAAATAAAACAATTATATTATTTTATGAATACAAAAAATTTTTTTTTTCTTTAATTTCTTCTATTTTTTATTAATTTTACAATATAGTATAATTACCTTTATATTCGTACACTTGTATAATATCATTATTTTCTACGAAAACAAGTAATGTTCCGAGGAATTCATCCAAATTTAGAATAAAAAATGATTTTGGTTGACGTGCTTTTATTGTTTGCAGAATTTTTGTTTGTGAAATGTCATTTTTGCACAACTAGATAAAATAATATGATTAATACGCTATACAATACAATTACATAACACATAATAATACAGCAAAAGTTTCAGTTTTATGGAAAGAAAATGTTTCTTTGTAGTATTATCCTTTTACAATAAATAGTTATTATCGAATTATAAAATAAGCTACATAATAAAATGAAAATAAAAATTATTTTTAACTCACATATATATAATCTTGGCTGACTTCTTCATTATAGTGGATATACTCTTCTTTTTTATTAATACCTACTTTAAAAGTCAGTACGCTGCCACAACCAAAACAATTTTTTAAACGTGTGTCGTTTAAAGATCTTTCTTGCAAATCATAAGATAAAGATTGATTAGTTAGTACAATAGGATCGTTATTTGAAATCAAATTTAATGTCTCATTTTTGTACGAGGTAAGAGTCTTTATATCCAATTGCATATTAGATGGTGAAATTTCAAGATTCTTTTGAATCATTGCTATAAATCCATCTTGATATAAATTCATAATGTCTGTGGCATTACCAAGTTCTAATACATGCTATGAGAGAAAAAATAATATAGAACAAATTAGCAGAACTTATTGTTTTAAGAAGAATTCAATATACATTTTGCGTATATTTTTTTTTAATTTACACGTGTGCCTACGCATTATAATAAACTTACTACTATTCTATTATTTTCCAATTTCCATAAATTGCTAAGACTTCTACCACAGGTTTGTTTTGCAGTTGTAAGCAAGTATAAAACGCGATTTAATTTAAAAAACGTCCATTGATCAATTAATCCAAAATCGGATACTTCATCGATCACTTGAAAATCAGTTTGAATATATAATAGAAGTTTTATATGGCAAATGTTGTAATTTATTAATATATAATCCATATCATTTATTTCGACAGTATGGATGTTATGAATGTCTCCATCAAATTCTTGGATTTTTAAATAATCAAATGTGTTAAATTTATATATCTGTTTTATAGCGTTGCATTTGAGTATATTCAAGTGCAATGCACACACGTTATTTAAATCCTTCTGTAAAAGATATAATTATATTTAGAGCATAAACAAGTGAGAACGTTGGATTCTTGTACAGAACAAACTTAATAATGTAATGTTACTACATTGCAAAGAAATTAATATTAATTTTTAAATCTGATAAGATTCTTATTATTAATAATAAAATTTTTATTGTCAATATTAATTTATTTTATTATAAATACTATAATTTTCTTACATATGTTTCCTCGGTAACATGATCTATTTCAGGATGTTCTCTTGTTAATGTTGATGATGCGTCAATGATATTAATTTCATTCAAGAACTTATTTCCATAAACGTTCTTTTCAAAATAGACATTTCCATGCACTCTCCACTTTCCAGATATAATCTGTTTTGCTTTGTTCATTGTCTTTATTACTGCTTCTTGCCAATTAATTGGGCTTATTTTGTTTAGAAGACCCAAAACTATGAGATTTTTATCAAAGATAATTGGAGTTTTGAATATAAAGTTTCCTAAACAAAAGTTATGTAAATATATTATTTAAATTATTTTTTATCGTTAGAGTTGAACAAAGGTTATTCAAACGTATTCATGCTAAGTGCTACTAAATACTGAAAGCTGATTCGTATATACGATGTAAAATACAAAAAGGTGATGTATGCACGTGCTAGGCATTTAAACGGCACTTGAAAATTTTATGGCATTTATAAAACTGATTGTCTTATTTCTCAATTTCTACCTGTTAGAGCGTCGTTTGCAGTTGAAGAAACAATACTCGTTGGTTTAAAATTATTGATTAAATGAGCATTGAAGTTATGGTACGCATAAATGTTTCCTCGTATCTTTATATATCCTGTAATATTCTGATTACCATATGTCTGTAAATGAAACAAATATAACCTTATTATATGTATAATTTTAATTTTAACATTAATTATGCATTGGAAGAAACAAAAGAAGAGACTGAAATAGTATGTATGTCTAAATAATCTATATTACTTTATTGGAACATCTTCAATATCTTATGTTTTATTCGCCAAATATTCCAAACGATAAAAGTTTTATTTTAATTTTACGTTCATTATACCATGAAGGTGTCCGCATAGATATCTTCTATATGGTAGGTATTAATTTGTCCTGATATCTGAATGTTTCTGACAATAATATTAGTACAATTAAGTTTATCGATCATAATAAACTGTCGCATATTTAATAAAATCAACAGATTCATTTGTAAGTCATTAACCTGCATGACTTTTATATTTGTCTGGAAAGTCACATTGTTGAGTGTTATTCGTGCTGAAATGAAAAACAAAATACTTTTTCTATGCTTCAAAATTAAATATTTAATATATTATTTTTGCTATAAAAAAAGAGAAATTGTAAAATTATGTAACACACTTTTATAAAAAAAAAAAAACTGTTGAGTAGAATTTAAGTTGCTTAAAAGGAGAAAATTTGCTACAAATTATTTTGTAAATAGATATAATTTTACAAAATATTAAATAATTTTTTACAAAACATAAAAATTCTTTGCAAAGCATGCAAATAATTTAATTTTATGAAAATACGACATTGATTAGAAATCGATGATTATTTACTTGTATACTTTTCTTCTTACATATTTTTATTATTTCTGAATGAAGAAGCCTGAAGTTATTATTTATTTGCTTTTACGAGCATACATATATACATTTATACTAATATTTAAAAAATCGATAATTACCTGGAAAATATTTAGGTTTATTAAGGGCAATAACATTCTCTTGAAAGTCTTTCATATCAACTTCCATAATGGTATATGATTGTAATTTATTTTTTACTACGAGGTTTTTTCGTAGATAAACATTTTCTCCGAACGTAACTTTGGTATTAATTGAGAAAGATTTATTGATATAAACAACATTTTCATAAAATCTATATAAATCTAAATTGTTTAAACTGCCGTCGATGTTAAATACATTATTAAATGTAACTGAATTTTTAAATAATTTTAGTCCCAAAATTGTAACATTTGTATCATTTTTAAAGATTATGGTCTTGAAGAAACTGTTTAACATTAATCCTCGAATCGATCCACTTACATTCAATCTTGTTACAGAAACAGTCTCAATGAAGTAAACATTACCACGAAGAGCATAAGAATTATCCTTATCTTTAAATCTATTTGTGAAATTGCTTAAAAATACAGAATTTCCAATCTTGCCAGTTGTATTAAAATTTCTTAGAACCGTGACTGAACCTTAAAGAAAAAGAAAGAAATTAATTTTGTTATTATAAAAAGACTACAAAAATAAAAAAGAAAAAATTAAGACAAAAACCTAAATAAATAATTATAAAATATTATATATACATAATTAATAAAAGTTTAAATAAACATACAAATAGATTTTAATCTTGTAATGATGTCACTTTATATACATATACTGGAGAATGAAAATAACACGTTACTTATAACGCTGTTACCGTTACAAGTTACTTTTTCTAGTAACGGACGTTATTCTGATAACGACGTTACCTTTTTTTTGTAACTGTAACGTAGTTACATTATTTTGGTAATGGTAACCAAAACAGTTTCTTTTTATCGTTTACAGTTACTTTTACACCTTTATTTTTTATATTTTTAACATACTTATATGACATAATTTTGTATATATTTAACTTTTGGCCGGTATTCATGATTCGTTCTTAAATAATTTTAAGTAATATGCCTTAAGAAGCTAATACGGCTCTGTGATTGGTTTATGATATTTTAAGAATGACCAATTAATAACTAATGACAAAGCTGTATTAATATAAGGACAAACTTTATGAATAACAATGTTTATTTTGATGTCATGTACTACAAAATTTATAGTTAAAAATTTCACTTCTTAACAGCGAATTGTGTTTCAAAACCAAAAATTTAATTGACGCGTGGTTTATAAAACCAGACATGTATACAGGGTGTCCCATAATTCATCAGAATTCGTAAACAGGTAGAGCGGACTAAACTGAGATGGAAAGTCCTCTACCATTTTACCAATTTTTGCAATAGTAGGAGATATTAATCTTTAAAGATCACTAAATACGCACGTCCACCCGGCCTACTGACAATGAGTGCCTTCCAACAAGCGACACAAATGACACGGTGTGACACAATGGATCATTATATCCTTGTTGTTTGCCAATGTTAAACAAAGATGACATGATCACTGTGTCGCGCTGTCGCTTGTTCGAAGACATACATTATCAAGTGTGTGCCCATTGCTAGCTCGGCGCATGGGCCGCGGGGAATGGAGATGGACTGGCAAGGCTTGAGAAAACGCGGTATTAAAAAATTCTGAAAAAATTCATAGAGTTCTATGAGAAGAAAATAATCAATTTTTGTCTCTTGCAATTTTTCTGTAAAGTTGATAGATTTGAGTACAAAATTATTGAAGACCAATTTTCAATAATTTTTAGTAATTGATATCTTGTTTACTATTGCGAAAATTATAAAATGGTAAAGGACTTTTCTTCTCAGTCTAATCTATTTTGCTAATGCGAAAGATCAATCGTTACTTATCAAACACCCTGTATATATATATCCGGTTATAAATTATTTTTAATGGGAAAGGATATTTTTTACTCATTCTATCGATGGTGCTCAATGAACTGAATAGTTTTCCATTAGAATATCTTTTCAAAAATTCAACTATTGTCGGGATATAAACCAACATAAGTCAGACTGAAAGTTTAAAACAAATTTTTTATTATTGCAATAAATGTTCAAAATGTTCGCCATGTTGATCTAGACATGCCTGCAGTCTGCATGGAAAGTTTGCTTCTTCTAATCTTAAATCGTTGTATCGCGAAAAATATTTTTTTATTCTTTTTTTCCGAAGCGGTAGGACATTGAAAGTAAGCTCCTTCACTCTTCCCCAAAGATAATAGTCCAAACATGTGAAATCTGACAGGGAATAACGCAGGACCATCTCTACCAACGTATTTGTTTGGGAACGTTCTGTTGAGCTCTCGCCTCGTATCTCAATCAACATAGTGAACAGTCTGGCTTATTTTATACTCTACAATAGTTGCTTATTTGGCTTATACCCCACAATAGTTGCATTTTTGAAAAAATAACGCAGAGTTATTCAGTTCATTGAATACACGACGAGTAAAAAATACTCCTTACCATTAAACAAAATTATTTTATTGATAGTATGAAAACCAAGAACATTTAAGGTTACTTATACGGAGAGAATTTTTTCTTAGAGTTTACCCTGAAAATATGATAATTGTGGGACAACATTTGTATTTCAAAGAATTTTGATGTAAATCTCTCTCATAATAAAATACAAAGTATAAATAGGTTTGATTAATTTTACTGAAGTGCATGGTAACAATTTTAAAAATATTGTATTATACCATAACTAACATATTTTCAGGGTAGATTTAAAAAAAAATTCTCTTCGTGCAAAGTCGTCAAAGTATGTCCCCCTACTTATCCTACAACTTTGATAATAGATATCTTCCCCCTATCTTTAACCGTTTTAGAGAAAAACGTGGTGAACTTTTTATCAGACTCACCTCCCCCCCTCCACACACACACACAAATTTACTCTGAAATATTAGATATGTATATATATAAAGCTTTAGCTCATTCCGAAAAATCCTTTCGCTTCTTACAATTAGTTACGTTTTTACATATCGGTCTATTGTTATTATTGTCATTATTATTTATTGTTATTGTTATTATTATTTACAACCAGAATGGCATTTTGGTGACAAACAAAATTTATGGTTATTAAAGCATTTTCCGGTTATCATAATCAGAAATTATGCTTGGCCTCACCAAAATATCATTCTGGTTAGACCTTCTTGTTGGCTTAAGTAGACTGTTTTCCTCTGTGATAAACAAAGAATATTGTAAAATATTTTTTAAACTGATCTTAGCATTAAAAAATAACGAAAAAATAACAAGTCATTACTTTTTAAGTAACGGTAACGGTAAAGAGTTTCTTGTGAGTATCAGCAGCTATAGTAACAGTAACTAGTTACTTTTTTTATTTAATAATGAGTAACTGTAACTAATTACTTTTAAAAAATATCTTTCCATTCCCTGTTAACTACGATAGCAATAAGCAAAAGTGTATATATATATATAATAAGTACATTTAAAAAATATTAACTTGTTAATTTTACAATAAATGTATTATAAATATACTTTTAAGTGTCATTAATAATATAAAGATAATGCAAATATATTTGAAAGACTAATGTACATTTGTAAAAGACTTCTTAATAAGTTTAATATATGCAACATACCATTTATGACAATTGGCCCTTTTAGCATCTGCTTTTCATTTAGATCCAAAATATGGTTTACGAAATGTTCATTTATAAATTGTACTTTTAAAAATTCGCACGTAATATTATTCAATATTTTGCGATCTATAAATGTAATATTTCTATCGGCTTTCTGAACAGCATCACTGATAAACATAGATACGTTTAAATTATTTATAAAGCCAATTACTCTCAAATTTTTAATCGATACATTTGTATTGAAAATGACAGTCGCCATGTTATATTCCTTATAAATATCAATAATATTATTGTTATTAATTGAAAATGCCATTATAATTCCTGTTACTTCTAGATTTTTTATCGATGCATTTCCGTTCAAAATGTCATTATAAGGTGATTTTGCGTGTGTCGATAACAGATTCCACATATTTAAAGGTATTGCGTTAATAATTTCTGCGTCCAAGATGTCAGTTTCCAATTTGTCAATTATTAAAGCACCTGTTAGATTCTGCTGCGTATAGGGTGTTAACACGCAGTTGACCAAATCAATGTAGTTGATTCTATTGATTATATTAGGCAAGATCTCATCAATCATTAATATCGAAGTCGTTAAATTCTCGAAATACCCTTGTTGAAAAGTTTTATTTAATTTGTCAAAGAAGGTAATTTGTGAGATAGTCTGCTTTATAGTATCAAAAGACAAATTATCGATAATAAATGATTTAACAAATAACAGTATTTTATTAAAGCAACTAGAAGTTATACTTTGTTCATAGATTATATAATCCTCTAATTTCTTCATGATGCCAAGAGTAACATTTTCAAACATGATATTTGCTGATATTTTCGTTAAATCTGAAATTAATAAAGTGAAATGTATTGCTGAAATACAATTTTTATAGAAAATTTTATGCAAACTGGATACATTAGCGCAACTTTATAATTATTAATAAAATAAAATAAGACAACGGATTAATGGGAATTGGCGCTGTAATAATTGCGCTATTATTATCTTTCCATAGACGGTTCGGCTAATCTTTTAGCCATCATTAGTATCGAATTAAAGAAAAAACATGATACAATTTGTCATATGCACAAACAAATTAAATATATCATAAGGCGATCCATCACTCTCCCATGCAATCCCATACCAGTTAGACAGCTAGATCGTGCCAGTCGATTGATTAATCTTCAAAGACAAACATAATCAGGAATTTAAAACGATAAGATTAACATAGAAAAGTGATTGACTCACCTTCTATTGTTGATTTATAATTATTTTTAAACTATTCAATAAATTCAAGTAAACTTACACTGAAAAATAATTCATGAAATTTGAATAAATATTTGTTTAGATAGTACGAATGGGACCATTTACTTATGTGATAAATAAATATTTATTCAATTAAAAAGAATTACACCTAATAAGTATTGTTTTCAAATCAAATAAATATTTATTTTCTGTAAGCAAATGATTCCATTGGTACTATCTGAACAAACATTTATTCAAATTTCGTTAATTCTTTTTTCAGTATGTTTATGTTATCTATAGATAGATTAGAATATTTTTCATTTCTCAATTCTATTATAGAGAGGGAACGAAAGATGTATATTTTTAAAAAATATGTAATTTCTTTTTCGTAACAGCTTTATTATATGTAGATAAAAAATTTGCCTTTTTAATTTTAATAATTTAAAATCTAATAGATAATGTTTACGAACCTTTAGTCGATTACTGTACTTACGAGGAAACTGTTGATTAGTGTTTAAGGTTACGAATTCTGAAAAAATGTGATCATTAATTCGTCTGGATTTAATTCTTGTCGTAGATTTTACGTTGACGTCATTCCAAAATCTTTTATTTCCAATAATTACTGCATTTTTTTCAGTCTTTAATAAAAAATTGTCAAGATCCGACCACGCTTTAGCATTAATTGAATCTTTGAGTACAATATTTCCCATAATGATCAGATTTTCAAAACTAACATCTGATAAAAGCCTATCGGTTTCGTTAAGCAAATCCTCTATACCGCTTGCATTAATGCCTATTATATTTCCGTCAATCTGAAATTATGACAGAACTCTGGATTTATACCTAATTGTAATATACGGTTAACGAATCGTACCTGGAAGATTCCATCAATTTCTAGATCTTTAAACGTAGTTTCTTCATTAATAACTTCATGTCTGTTGAGAATAACAAAATCATTAATATCAATTTCATTTATTGTCTTGATGGTTAACAAATGTGTCGTAGACAAGTTAACGAAGTGCTTTTCACCCGTGACGTTGATAGGAAATTTATTTAGTTCATTCATTAGAATGTAATTTCTTGGATATTGCAAATAATTCAGATTTTTGACATTAGCTTTTTCGGCGACAAGCTGTTGAAAAAAATATTATCTTTAATCGAAAAAAGAAATTACAAAGATTTAAACTTGGTACACACAGAATGTTAATAAAAAATGATGCAATTGGTGATTATTCATAAAAAAACAAAAGAAAAAAGGACGTATAAATACTTTTTTTATTATTTCGTTAAAGGCGTTCTAGTTTTATATGTATACTAGCTACTTTTTTTGAAACTATGAATACAGTATTAAACCATGTATACAACATTACTTATTTTCTTATGAGAGAAAATTTGTTTTATTATCAAGATTTATATTGGACAACCTATCCCAATTCTTAGTGATAATATTAAGTTGTTTTACCCTTTCCGCAATTGTCTCTCCAGAAATAGTTGTCGATTCATCTTTCCAAATTATATCTTGCATCTGCTCCTTCCATTTAATGTTATTTATTACGGAAAAATTCAAGTGACCATCAACTTTTAATCTCTTTAATATTGAAAAATTTACGTCACTATAATTTTTGATTAGAAAATTGAACATGACTTTCTCCAACGGTATGCCATTTAAAGAGAAAATCGTTAAATTATTAGTGTCGATAGACGAAACAGATTTCTGACCGTTGATGCGATTTACAATACTGTTTTCTATGATCGAAATTGATGCGTTATTAATAAAAGCCGCAATTATATTTTTCGTATATAGAGTACCATTCACCGACAAATCTCCATTTAATTCAACATCTGGAGGTAAAGTAATTTTTGTCGAATTAGTCATACTTTTCAAATCTGATAACATTTGATCAAGCTTTGCATCTAATTCTTTTAATTTCTTTATATTTGATGTCACGTTTATCAATATATCTTCCATTTTCAAATTGATCGAACCAACTTTGACAGCGCTATAATTTACATGACTTTCGAGTATAGCGTTCGATACATTTATTTTTGAAAGATTCCAAAATCCTGTTATCACATTCTTAAAGTAACTTCGATTGAATTGTGTATCAGTCTCATCAAAGATAGCTTCTTGTTTTCGAAAAATTTCCTGAAAAGTTAATAAAAATAATTCAAATAAATGTACACGCGCACAGCACACCCACACGCACATGTGCGTGCGCATACACACACACACACACGCGCGCGCGCGCGCGCGCGCATACACAAAAAATCTTTATATATATTAATAAAAATGTATCTTATATAACTGCAGCTTATACAGGGTGACCCATTTTAACTTAGACAGCCAAATAACTCGAAACATCGCGATTGAATAAAAAAATTTTTTTAACAAAAATTGTTGGATATGAAGGGGCTGATTGAATTATGACCTTGACAATGACCTTGACCTTCATTTTCAAGGTCATTTGAAGATCAAGGTCATTTTTTTAAATAGAAAGCCCAATTTTTTGTTGAATATTCTTGTAGCTTATCTCGAGAGCTTTCCAAAACACTATAATAAAATATTTTTTCATTAAGTGCTTCTCGAGTTATAAGGCTCGAATGTTACAGTACCGCCGCCGACATTAGCATTACGCAAGGTATCCGA